CACTGTCTCTGTCATCAGTGAGGCTAACAGCTATCGTCCATGGCTCATGCGGGGCACCTTGAACAAGGACACCGGCGAGCTGGCACTCCTGATTGAGGCTGGGCTCAAGACGCTACGGGCTGAGAGAGTTGTCGGGCGTCAGCGCAGCGAGGCTTTCCGGGAGCAACCGTGGAAACCTGCACATGTCACCAAAGGCAAAGCTGCAGGCAAAGGGAGGCCAGACGCTGTCAGTGCGGGATTTCCCCTCCTCATGGAAATCGCTGACGACGATGAGGAGGATGGCCAGGCCAAGGATGAAAATCAGTCAGCTCCGGAGGCTATGGCGGTGGAGGGCTCGCAGGCTAAGTCCACCAAACGACCCCGCGAAGGGGACCAGAGCCGAGCGGGAAAGGAGTCCTGGGAAGAGAAAGAATGTGGAGGACAGGGGCACTGTTTCTACAACTGTGTCACGGCGGGCTTTGTGCTCAAGACATCGCAAGCATCATTCGAGGACATCCAGAAAACCCTTCCGGAGAAGGGCCGAGGATTGCGGGCGAGGATTGCCACGTATGTTAAGGAGCATCCAGCTGCGTTTAGGCCGTACTTCCACGTTAATGAGGGTGACCCGAAGGCAGCAGATCAGCAGGCCGCCCAGGAGCAGATTCGCAAAGTCGAGAATGGCGAAGCACCGAAGAATTGGCAAGAGTACTTGCAGGCCATTTTCAGGCCGCAGAGATATGCCGACGAGATTGCGTTCCGCGCAGCGGCCGCTCTTCTTGGAGTGAACCTGTGTCTAGTGTGTGGTAGCAACCTTGATAAGCCGGACCAGGTTTTGTTTTATCAGAACCCTAAGGCGTCGGTGATTCTGTATCTGCGTCATGCATTGGGGCATTACACGCTGCTGATTCCCAAGAGTGAGCAGTTGCCAGAGTACGTCTTGACAGGTGCTGAGGTGTCTTCGCCACAGGCTTTCGCCCCCAGAGGGGGTGGCAAGTCCGAAGCTGTGGATGATTCGTGGATTCCGCGTTGGGGCTGCTCTCTCAGCCCTCTTCCCAAACCGAAGCAGCAGGTGGCGCTTGTCAAGCAGGAACATGCATCATCGACGGGCGTAGCTTCGTCCAGTTGTGCTGAGGTTCCCCAGCCTACGAGGGCCGGGGCTATCAAACGTGAGCCCTCACCGGTGGGCGCCCCCGGAGGAGGTGGCAAACCAGAAGCCATGGATGATTCGTGTCTTCCGCAGAGAGGTAGTTCCCCCAGTAACGGTACTGAGCCGAGGCCGCAGGTGGCGAAGGTCAAGCAGGAACCTACACTGTCAGCAGGCGTATCTTCGCGTAGTTGTGCTGCGACTCTCCAGACTCCGAGGGCTGGGGCTGTCAAACGCGAACCCTCGCCGGTGAGCGTCAATGCAATGCCCGTGCGTAGGCTGCGGCACAAGGTTAAACCTGAGTCTTTGAGGGAGTGCAGGGTTCATGGGTTCACGAGTGTCACTGCGCCCGCACTTGTGAGGAGTCCCAGAGCGTTGCATCGTCGTCTTCGTCGCAAGACTTCACTTGCTGCGCCGATACCGGCTAAGCATGAGGTTTCAGGGACAGGTGCCCAAGGTTCTGAGTCTCATCGGTCCAATCGGGGTCGTGAGGTCGTGGGGGAAGGTGCCCGGGGTTCCAAGGGTTGGGTTGAGCATCCACCGGAACAGGTGACGGCGGATCCGCCAACCGCGTCGGAACACTGGACCACTCGAGATGCAAAGCGACGGAGTGAGCAGTGTAAGAACGCCAAGAATCAGTTTGCGTGGAAGTGCGATGTGTGCAACATCACGTTGACCACTGGCCTGTATGATACTTTGAGGTTCGCTAGGAGCAACCATATCTGCCGGGTGCATAAAGGTGTTCCGAAGAGCCGGTTTTCGCAATTGGGGCCCCCACCTAGGCGCCCTATTCCCCTTGTGTATGACTGCTCGGACCCTAAGTGGATGTGCTTCCACTGCCGTTGGTTTCTCCCGGCGTGCCATCGCCGTGTCAAAGCAAACTCGATCGCCAAGCACATTCGAGAATGCGAGCAGTGCCCACTCCATTGGAGTCCGATCCGCAATCTTTGCGCCATCCTTGAGGAGCACGGGATCCGTACTCTGGGCGAGCATCAGGCACGGCTGGCTCAGCGTTTTCAGGGTGAAGTTGATCTGAGGACATATCGGCCGAAGCAGTGTAAGCAGGAGCCGCCATCGAAGCAGGACCCTCGCACCGGCTTCGTGCGTGACCTCACGAAGGACGGGGATGTTGAGCGAAATCCAGGGCCGTCCACTTCATGTGACGGCGTCAGCAGGGGTCATCATACTAAGGTGTGCACGTGGAACAGTCAGGGCAGCCAAAACCTCTTGCGTGCAGCTGCAAACGGGCTTCTCTGGGGTTCAGGGGTGGTTATGGTGCAAGAAGCGGGCTTGGACACACACCTGTGCCGTGAGCTTTCAGTGATGGCGGCACGTCATCATTTCCACGCTTTCTTCAGGGAGGCTGAGTGCTTCACCGATGTCATCGGCAGGCCTAGGCGCAAGCATGGGTTGGCAACTTTCGTTCACCAAGACTGTGCGGCGCGGCTAGTTCAATCCACTGGAGTGCCAGGTACTTTCGAGGCGCTGTGCGTGAAGGTTGGGCGGACTTTTGTAGTCAATGTGTATCGAGTGCCGAGTGGTGCTGAAGCTGCGTACTGCGATTTCCTTCAGAATTCCATGCAACTCGGAAATCATGTGGTGATTGGGGGCGACCACAACCTTGAAGGTCACCAACTGTCGGGTCTTGATGAGTTCATCAGGTGTGTTCGGGATGAAGGTGGGATTCCCCTGTCGTCGAGGGTGAATGGCCAGAGGTGCATCGACTACTTTATCAGTCAGGGCGTTTGCTTGTCAGAGCTCGGGTATGGTGCTGAAACCTTAAGTGACCATCATTGTGTGCATGCCACAGCTGAGAACCTTGTGCATGCCAACCGGAGAGCCAGTGATGACACCTTGTGGGTTGAACAGCCGACCACGAGATACTGTTGCCCCGACGGCGTTTCGCTTGAGGCGTGGACTGCGACACAAGCCGAGGTTTGGCATCATGCTCACACTCCATCCGATGAGGGTGACACAGAGGATGAATGGAGGTGGTTTTGCGCCACTGCCGAGGCTGGGCTCCGTCATGCCACCAAGGTCCACGGGACTTTGAGGGACCCGCCTAATCGTAGGGCCAAGGGCACTCTCCATCGAGCTCAGCGGGTCAGTGGCAAGTCGCTCCGGGCGGGTCAGCGCGGCCCATATGCTCTCCGGAAACTCTTGCGCCTTCAGGGGCGCATTCGTGAAATGTGCCGTCAGGTTGGCCGCGGCTTTGACGCTGCCCTCTCGTGCCAGGTTGAACGCACGTGGCCGGCGTCGCTCGGCGCGTATCCTGGAAGTGAAGATGCGGCTCATCTGTTGAGCATCGTGGATGCAGCAGTCGCAGACATACATCGCAAACAGACACGCGAAGGCGTTCACAGGTGGCAATGCAACCTTGCCAAATGCGGGCGACAAGCCACGGCATGGCTGCGCGGCAAGCAGAGGGTGCTCACGACCGTCTTGCCACATGAAGACGATCGTGTACCGAGCGAGGCTCTAACGATTGGGGATAGCTTGGGTAACATCCGCAGGTTCTGGCGCACCGTTTGGCATCGACCGGTCGTTGACAGACAGAGCGCTGTACGACAATGGAAGCTTCATGGCAGGAGGAGTGCATTTCGCGGGAGGCTAGCCCAAATCTTCACGGCGGGCAATCTGGCTGCTCAGGCGAAGCGTAAGGCGGGCAGCTCCCCAGGAGTCGATGGCTGGTCGGGAGATGAAGTCGCAGAGCTTACGCCAGAGGCTTGGCGAACTTTTGAAACCCTGCTCCTAAGGTGGTTCCGTAGAGGAAGCTTCCCACAAGTGTGGCAGCAGTCGCGGCAGATTCATTTGCCAAAAGATGAGCCGGACATCAAATCCGGAAGCTTGCGAGCGGATCAATTGCGCCCGATTACCATTATGTCGGTCTGGTGGAGAGTGGTCGGATCCTGTTTTGCCACCCACGAAGCTGTGCAGCGTTGGCTCGGCCAAATTGTGGACGAGAGTCAGGTTGGCGGGCTACGACATCGGAGTCTGCACATGGGCATAGGCAGCATTTGCGAGAGTTTCGAGGAGGGTTTGGCCATAGCCTCGCTTGATTACCAGAAATGCTTTGACAGCGTGTCGCCGGATTTGGCATGCGATGTGCTTGCTGAGGCGGGCCTTCCTGGACCGGTTCTTACGGCCCTGAGGTGCATGTGGCGTCAGACCCGTTTTCTGGAGCTGAGCGGCTATACGTCCGAGTCCGGTGAGGTCGTGCATACCTCCCTGCCGCAGGGCGACGCGATCAGCCCGTTAGCCCTGAATGTTTTACTGGCGGCCGCGTGCAAGGACATTCGGGCTCAGAGCGGAGGACACTTTCGCCAGAGTGTGTTCCTCGATGACCGTGTTTTGGCCACTGATGCTGTTTCCATGCCGGCTGCGCTTCAGAAGTGGGCTGAGTGGAGCAGGATCCTTGGCTTGCAAGAGAACCAGAGAAAGCAGGCGGTGATCTGCAACAGCGCTGAGGAGCAGCGCACTCTTCGGGTGGTTGGGTTAGGGCGGTTCCTGACGCAGCATGTTAGGGTTCTAGGGGTTGATCTGTGTGCGACGGTCGCTGCTGAGCGGCCTGTGGCAGCTGCGCGCATGGAGGAAGCTCTTCGTCGCGGTGCTCGCTTGATCAACACGGCCATCCCTCTTACGATCAGGCGCGAGCTTTGGAGAACGCGCATTGTTCCACGAGCCTCGTGGGGACACTTGATGGCTCCGCCATCTGGGGTGTGCCTCAAGAACTTGGTGGCGACTTTCAAACAGGTCGCCTGCAGCCACAAGATGGGCAGCACTGCCTTGCGCAGAATTCTGGAAGGCCACGTGATGGATGTCCATTTCATGGCCGGCATGCATTCCATACGAGCATGGCGTAAAACAGGCCGGGCCGAAGCTTTGGCTCAGCACCTCAGTGCCGGCACATGGTTCATGGGCGTGGTCCAATTCCTCAACGAGCATGGATGGAGGCATGAGGCTCAGGGTACTTTTGTCACTGAGGGGTGCCGGCTTGATCTCTTGGCCGACGAGCCGGCCAAAGCTGATCATAAGGTGCGCAATCAGTGGCGTAAGACTCTCTTTCAGGAATTCTGCTCGGCTTCGCGCAGAGATTCTCAGATGCTGCGGCGATGGCGATTCAATGAGAAGCAGATCGCCCAAGCGAGGGTCCTGTATCAGGGAGCGTCTCAAGAGGGGCGCGCAGTGATGCTGGGTGCGGCGCATTCCACGGCCTTTTACCGTAAGCAACGAGATGGTGATGAGCTTCAGGGATGCAGCAAGTGTGGGTGCAATGTGGTCCCGTCATGGGAGCACCTGGTGTGGGAGTGCACGGGCATTCACGGCGTTGAGGACCGTCCGGTCCGACCCGCCGCTTCGGAGGCCAATCGGCTGGGGTGGCCTATGGTCGGAGAGAGTGTCAACGCCGCTGCGAAGAGGCTGAGATGGATGGGCAGTGTTCGGGAGCAAGTGCGCGAACGGATGGGATGTGATGAGTAGCAGCTGAGCACCTCGTGTCGATGCTTTCTGCCTTGTGATGGTTGGTTCAATGAGTGTGGGCGGTGGCTCTGTTGGCCACTCACGGGCAGTTGAAGCGTTTGCTTCAGTGAGCGTGGGCAGTGGCTTCTTTAGTCACCCATGGGCCGTATGTCTTTCGGGGCATGCTGGCCGTCCAATATCAACACATGGACTATTCCAAATATACTCAGGGTCAGGG